TTCCAGTTTCGCACACAGCACGCGCTACTTCGTCTACACATACACTGGAATTGGACCCCAGCAAAGTGCCTCTTTGAACGCATTACCAACTGGATAATGTAACACATGTTTAAGGAAGCAGTTTGTGTACGTTAATAGATTTCCAATGTTGTCTATGTTCGTACTTAGGGCAGAGCTTCTTCAGGTGTGGACATTGTATGCTAAGTTAAACCTCCCCATGTTGAAAAATAATACACCTGTTACTTTTTTCCAGATTGTTTTTCCACAAAATATTTTCACAATTACTGTTGCAGGGAAATGATTTTGACATTGTTGCTTTAACACAGTGATAAGCTGTAAGTCCATGACATGTGTACAGGAACATAAGAAGAAATCCATCAGATGAAACATAACGGTAATTAAAGAGGCTATTGTCGGCTAAGTACGGAGCATATTTTGTTCAATCATAATATCGTTACACAAATGTGTGTATTTATAGATGTGTTTGACATTAACTGAATATTGATGAAAACAACTGCCTTTGTAACCTTTTACGCTTTGTAATACTTTTTCCAGCAAACAAAGGTTCTCGTTTAGACTGTTTATTTTACCCTGGCGTCGAGCAATGGAATATTCATTACATTACGAGACATTTAAGTATTTCTAACGATTGATGGCAGGTTAGGGAGCTAGTCTGGAGTGGTTAACAACCTGTCAGTGGGACCAGCCATGATTTCACTCAAGGTAGAAGTGCTTCAGTGAATGTAGGCCGAGTGGTTGGACATAATCATAATTCTGTGAAAAATAATGTTGTTTCCTACCAACCAATTTTTCGAAATAGACGAAATAGATGCTATATCAAACTCTCGTCATCTCATATAATATTGGTAACTGTAATTGGTCAAAATAAGGAAAAGCGCAAAACCTTTTAACATATGAATGCGCACAGCGTCTACGGACCGTCCGCGTGGTCTAGTGGTAGAGCGTCCGCCCGGAGAGCGGAAGGTCCCCGGCCGCGTCATACCAAAAGACGTTAAAAGATGTTAAACTGCGGCATGGTATATCAGTGTGCTAGCACTATAAATCGGCATCAGTCCGGACTAGAATAGGAGGCATGCACGTCGCTATATAAGTGTAAAAATCTTGGACGCGACGTTAAACCCGATTTCACCTAACCTCACCGAAGCGTCTACGCATCCTATAACCTGTGTTTCGTTGCGAATATGGTTAATCAATTAAAGTAATAATGTGACTCTATGGGGTCAAGTTCGTGTTTGAACTATTTATTTTGCTTGTTTGTTGTTGAACTCAACAATAATACAGCTGTGTGATCTGGGCCTGTAAATTATCGTGTTTGGAACAGACAATCCATTGCTTAACATCATGAGCTACAATCCACACCGTCGGGTACGATGCCACACAGCCTAGCCACCGAGCCAGACCACCCGATCCACGCCGTCGGGTACGATGCCACACAGCCTAGCCACTGAGCCAGACCACCCGATCCACGCCGTCGGGTACGATGTCATACAGCCTAGCCACCGAGCCAGACCACCCGATCCATGCCGTCGGGTACGATGTAACACAGCCTAGCCACCGAGCCAGACCACCCGATCCACGCCGTCGGGTACGATGTAACACAGCCTAGCCACCGAGCCAGACCACCCGATCCACGCCGTCGGGTACGATGTCACACAGCCTTGCCACCGAGCCAGACCACCCGATCCACGCCGTCGGGTACGATGTCACACAGCCTTGCCACCGAGAAAGACCGCCCGATCCACGCCGTAGGGTACGATGTCACACAGCCTAGCCACCGAGCCAGACCGCCCGATCCATGCCGTCGGGTACGATGTCATACAGCCTAGCCACCGAGCCAGACCGCCCGATCCACGCCGTCGGGTACGATGCCACACAGCCTAGCCACCGAGCCAGACCACCCGATCCACGCCGTCGGGTACGATGCCACACAGCCTAGCCACCGAGCCAGACCACCCGATCCACGCCGTCGGGTACGATGTAACACAGCCTAGCCACCGAGCCAGACCACCCGATCCACGCCGTCGGGTACGATGTCATACAGCCTAGCCACCGAGCCAGACCACCCGATCCATGCCGTCGCCTCTTACGGCCAGGATCGTTTGCTTGGGGCCAATTCTAACCCGGAAGCCCAACGGGTACGCCTATCATACCAACAATGATATTACCTATATCAGTGTACCTGAAACAGTGGTTCACTTGAAGAATCATTATGTAAGGACATGTCAGCCTCGCAATAACAGTCGGTTGCTACCGGTTGCTGCGAATTCCCGGTGTGAATATTGTAACAATGTTTGGTGAGTTTAGAATTAGTCGCAATTCTTTTGAAATCATGACTTTTATTGTGACACGGATACGAATAGAAATACACAAAGCCGTTGAAGTTGGTGATTTACGAGGGAATATCAGAAAGATTTTAAAATGAGCCTGGCGTATCTAGGTTGTTTTTAGGCTGACGTATGAAACAGTTATATTAGTATTCACAAGTGTTTCTTTAGACTAACATTTAGTCTCTGAAATCTTATATTACACAATATCCTTCTTGACTCTAAAAATAAAAAAATTTCCTTATGTTGATTTCTGTGGAATAGAGCTAGCTTGAGCTGGCTAGACTTGCTTTTGTATGCATTTCTAGATTATTATTTTTTCATAAAATAAATATATTCCACGGTCATGGTGCAGGACTAGTGTTTCTTGAGTCAATCTTCACACTTTGCCGTGTTTCAGTCCAGTGACTTGTCGATTCGAGACTTAGACTCTGAGCTATTCTACTCCTTAACATTGAAATGGAAAAAACTATCTTTTCACCCTGGAGAGTCAATCGCTGATGAATATTGATGTACGGTTGCATGCTGTTTGTAATTACGGGAGGAGTTCCCAGCATATGCCACAAATAAACATTAAACATAGGCTTGTGTCAGACGGGTTCCCAGAATGCTATGACAGCTCCGCTGGTCACCACCTCCAACGTCATTTCAACCAGATATTCTCGCCACGCATGGGGTTGTCATTCTATCCCAGGGACAGGTGATGAGTTTCAATCATTACGATTCCGACAGCAGACAAGATTCCATGCAGAGTAAACACTTTGGGCCCCTCCAAACTAAGCTTAAAGCAACCAGATCCACTACGAACATTATATCCCAGCCGCCTTATTCACCAAATCTGGCGACGCATTTAGCTGGGCAGAGTTGCGTCCCTTGAGCACGCCAGGAACCTTTGATTGTTGGTTCGAATCCTTATTCCTATGATTGTGGGTTCGAATCTCAATTGGCTCCTATTAAGTTTCTAGGTTTATCAGAACCATTCCCGTCCTCGTGGGTTTCACCAAAGTGGTAAACGTCTGGGATCTGCATCACTTCGGGCTTTCCTAACAGATTAAGCTGCAACACTGTGATATAACTGGAATACTGTTAAAACCTCTCTCATCCAAGTGACTACCACCTGTTTCAAACTTGAAAAAGCCTCGTGGGTTTGACCAAAGTGACATACGTCCAAGGCCTGCAATAGTTCGGGCTTTCTTAAGCTGATTGAAATAATGTTTAAAGAGGCGTTTCATCACAGTCCCTCACTCCGTCCCTCATACAACACTACACGTGGACAAACGGGCTATCCGAATCAAATTAGTTTCGAAGTATTTTATCATAACCCGAAGTATTTTATCACAACCACACCATCAATCATTTCGACAAGCAATGACACACGTGCAACACGTATTGTTTGTTACACACCCTGTGTCCCACATATTTCTATTAAAGGCGATAGAAGTAAGAGATGATAAGCTTAAACCGACGTCAGAATACCGACATGTCCAAATACTGTCTTATCGGTATAGTACTGTTTTGCGTCTACACGTGGATCAACTGAGTTGAGAACTTAACCACAAGCGGTCCTATTGACAGATTTGTGAGGGAGCCAAAACGACATGTCATATCAATTTAAATTCTTATCAAGGCTATTGGGCCAATAAATTCATTGTTATTGACAGTACACTTATAGCCTAGGCGACTCGGGGAGTGCATGTTTATATAGATTTGTTTTACTGAGTCTGCTTTTTACATCGTTGTACAGAAGGTGACACCTTAATAAACTATTTTCTCTCTGTGCCCCATTTCTTGTCGAACATCTAAGTGGCTACTTAAACGATGATCCGATAACGTCACCTCGTTCACGCGGTTAATTGTTTTTACGGGAATTGCCCTTGATACGGATGACTGGACGATGCTTTGAACAGTATTTCAGGGCGTGTCTGAATGATGTGGATATACACAGAAACAGGGAGAATCGGGTTTCGATCCCACTAGGTTTCTGGAACGCCTGAGGGACGCAATTCTGTACAGCGACTTGACAACCCCTGTCCTTTATATGGATGAAATTGACATGCATTTTCTTAGCGAAGGTTATTTGTAAGAAGCTTGGTTACTTGGTTACATTCGAGCTGACTTTATCATACCCCTTACCATTCAAACCGATAAAAAGCTGAAACCTGCGTCACTGTCAACCAACATTAATCGAACGCCTACCTGGTGCAAGGACTTGTTATATAGGTCCGTGCCTGGTGTAGCGGATAGAGCGTCTGTCTAGAAATCGGAAGGCCGGTGGTTCGATTCCCAGTCGTGTCAGCCAAAAACATGAACATATGGTACTAATCGAGGGCTGAGCGGCTCGGAGTAAGAATCGGGTATCCGTGACTCTCTGTGTATCTCTCTGTGTGTATCACTCTCTCTCTGTGTCTCTGTGTGTGTGTCTCTCTCTTCTCCCTCACACACACACACACACACACACACACACACACACACACACACACACACACACACACACACACATCGCTATGTAAGTGCAATGATATTGACGCGACGTTTAACCCCATATTTCAACCATCCACATGTTATTCTTTCACGCTCGGGTATAATTGAAATACTGTTATTAACAAAACGACATTAACCCCAACTCACACAATCGCAGATCATGTAGATACTTACCATCAGCGGAAAGTAGCAGCTTGCGAAGACAACAGTAATTCCAATGAGAAGCACCACCATCTGAATCTCGGCGTACCTCTTGTTGTTGCTCTTAAACTTCCTCGCACACCCACCTGGGGCATTAAGTATCCCTTGTTTTTTCCTGATCCTTATGAGAGTGTATATAACAACTATATTACAAATGATGGTCACGAAAATAGCGATTAAAGCTATAACAGCATAGAACAAATTGAAGGCAATATTCACAGGGTCCTTGCTTACATAGTCAAAGAAGCACCATGTTTTGGGATACTGGTATATATTTTTTCCAAATCCCATTAGAGGAAACGAAGCAATCAATATTGACAACACCCATGAGCCTATAAGTGTGACTTTAGCATATGTTGCTGTGAGCCTTGTGTGATATAGATACGGATGACGGACACAGATGTAGCGCTCCACTGCCATAGAGGTAACGATGAACAGTGTGGTGAAACTGGCAAATATCATCATGAAGGAAAAGTAGTGACACACAGGCATGCCACCTATCCATTTGAAATTATTCACATATACTGATATAACTACAGGTGACAGGGCGCACGTCCCGAACAGGTCTGTGACTGCTAATCCCGCGACCAATTTGTAAAACAAAGTCCTTCTTTGCTCAATGGCAGACGTTGCAAGGACGAAGAGGGCCAAGAGATTTCCGAAGACCCCGGTGCCAAACATGACACTGGCAACCATTACGGTGTGGTTCCGTTTTGCAGCGTCCACAACGAACCCCCCGACACTGATATTTGCTTCTATCCCTGCTGTGTCATTGATGAGAAGTAGTTGCTTCTCTGTCATGGTGTATTGTTCTGAAGTCGTCGCCATGACATAACCCACGACAAACTTTAAGCAACTCACATTTATCACCCAACGTGACTGTTCACAAACATTTTATGAGCCTCTCCCTGTCATGTTCATCGCCCTAACCTCCACAGCCAGGAAAAGATGTCACTTTTGTTGTCGAAGATCACGTTACACATACACACAAACACATGAATTATACTCTCCTTGGAAGGTTACCTTTTATATCCTCCGTTGGGGTATCCAAGTCACAAGGTCTGGAATATTTCTAAAAACAACTACCACAGCAGGATATTCCTTAGGTTTAACACAGCCTGCAGTACACTGAAGCTCCTACATTCACATTCCTATTCCAATCACTGGACCGTGTGGCTTGAATAAAACTGTCGTCTGCTCGTCATACGTCACAGCGCGTGCCACGATCTCTTTTCGAGGAAGTTTCCCGGGGCGAGTTGAGCTTGGCGACCGTCAATCAATGTTGTTTAACACACTGTACTCATATCCTGAAATCAGAGAGTCGATTAATTAGAACAGATGTCCTGTGGCAAAACAAATTTTCGTTTTAACTTTGAGAACAGTTTGTCATGTAAACATACGATCATTAACTCACCCTTCAACCTATCACGATGTACGTGGATTCGATCATATATTATACTCACTGTAGTGTCAATTCCTCACAAAATACCTATAAACGTCAAATATTATTCATCCAATTGATCTGACAGAGAACATTTCAGAAATTATTTTGGGGGAAAATATTTGTGTGTGATATCAAGCTTTACACAACATCGTGTATGAACGGGGTGTTCATGCTGTGAAAGGGGTAGTGGGGTAGCCTAGTGGTTAAAGCGTTCGCTCGTCACGCCGAAGACCCGGTTCGATTACCCACATGGGTACAATGTGTGAAACCCATTTCTGGTGTCCACCGACTATATTGCTAAAAGCGGCGTAAAACCATACTCACTCATGTTGTAAAGTAGAAATCCTGAAATTCACATGGGTAGTTATTACACAGTTTGACGGTGGGTGCACATCTTAATGGCCATGCTGTAAGGACGTTGTTCAATAGCACAGCATGTTGTATGCATGTTGATAAGTGTAGCTGTAAAAACCGCCCACGTCGCTTAGTATAGATCTGAAATTCTAGTGTGGGAAAAAGATCAGTTTACGCTGTATAGAAATTACTGTCGGTGGTTCAAGCCAACAAGGCGGTATCATATGATACCCACTGTGCACAGTGTTACGCAGGTTGGAATTGGCGATTTATATTAATATACCCACATGCTATCCAGTTTATCAAATTACCGAAACATAAACACACCATGTCCCTGGGCTATCATCTCTGTAGCAGACGGAAAAGCGTTCAAAATATGTTAGCGACAAATGGAGTTAAACACAGAACTTTAAGGTAACCACAGGCGATTACTATTAACCTCCGTATTTTAAAAATCGTATTGGAATTCAACCAGTTTGAAGGTTGTTGCCTGTCATGAATAATTACAGTTTCATTCACAATCTTGGGTTAGATTCCCTGTATGGGTACAATGTGTGAAGCCAATTTTTTGGTATCCTCCGCTGTGATATTGCTGGAATATTGCTGAAGGCGGCGAAAAACCATACTCACTCACGTACTTAAAGCACTTCCGTGGATACCAGAGACTAATCGTGCCCGGACAGTCAAAACCAATAACACCTATAACGATTGCCCAAACAGGATGATTAAAGACCCCGGTGTGTATTGTCATATTGATCAGTTTATCCTGCGATTGTCAGGCTACGCTGTAGTGAGTGAGTGAGTGAGTATGGTTTTACGCCGCTTTTAGCAATATTCCAGCAATATCACGGCGGGGGACACCAGGCATAGGCTTCACATATTGTGTAAATTTGGGAAATCGAACCTGGGTCTTCGGCGTGACGAGCGAACGCTTTAACCACCAGGCTACCCGACCGCCCCCTACGCTGTAGAAAATAGACATAATGTACTTCTGAGGAAGACTTTTATGGATGTCAACTTCTTTATCATGTGGAACACAACGTTTCGGAGTATATATTTACCGCTTCATCAGGTGAATAAATGCTGTGAGGCAGAGAACATATATATTTACCCCCGGCCTCACGTTTGCCCATTGTCCATTACCAACCAATCAGTGATAAGTTAAATGTTTGCTTCCTTTTGTACATTTCTAATCACGTCTCAGCGCCGTTATCTGTTGGCGTCCCTTGGTAAGTTTCCACCATTTTTATCTTATAACTTTTGTTGTTTTGACAGGTCGAATATATATGTTCTCTGCCTCATAGCATTTATTCACCTGATGAAGGAGTAAATATATACTCCAAAACGTTGTGTTCCGCATAATAAAGAAGTTGACATCCATAAATTCTCTTCCTAATGTGTATTGGGGCGGCCGGGTAACCTAGTGGTTAAAGCGTTCGCTCCTCACGCCGAAGACCCGGGTTCGATTCCCGACATGGGTACAATGTGTGAAGCCCATTTCTGGTGTCCCCCGCCGTCATATTGCTGGACTATTGCTAAAAGCGGCGTAAAACCATACTCACTCACTCGTTGTGTGTATCACTTCTAAATGCCTTTCAAAGAATTGTACTTCTGTTCAGAGAAATTACTCATAACACATAAGAAACCGGTCTATTTCTCAATTGAATGTGCCCGTGTTGGCTTGCGCTGTATCAGGTGAGTTGCCTGTCTCCCTGACACAATGACAGTTCCTTTAGCAATGGAAAGGATTTATAAAATGTCTCGGTGCATGTACAAAGAGCACGTGATAAAATGTTTGTTATTTTGTGTATGAAAAGCATTACAAGGATCACAAAGAATCGGCCACTAATTTTATATAGTTTTTACGCAAAAACTAATGTTTTGATATGATTTACTCTATGGTAACGTTATATTCTGCATGTTGTGTTGCTGCCGAACTAATGTTGTTTGTAGAGGCACTGACTTACGCCGGTATTCACGTGACCGGCGACCCAGGTTCGCAAAGAATTGCATGTGATATGTTTAAGCGAAGAATCGAACTGTATCTCTATTATACTACAAAGAACACGTCTCTCTCCCCTTTGTGTATATGAAACTTATTGTCATACACAACACAGTGGGAACAACATCGTTATTGTATCCTTCTATTGTTCATCGAAACTAAACTGTTCTGTTAAACACAGTCAGGACATATGAAAAACGTCTTTCATTGAGTCAAAATTGATTTCTTTACACCCTGACGCACACAGCTAAATACATTAACCCAAGCAAGCTGTACTGTATCAGATCACATCCAATGCAGATACTGCAAGCATCAAAAGGCATGCAAATTGTGTGAGTCGCGGGTGATGCCGGTGGTGCTAGGCATGCTAACCATTTTCCCGAACACCTGGTGTCATCTCTGATTTCAGTGATCCATTCATATAATTTGCATCTCAATATTGTTTTTTACGCCCAGTGGAATTTGTTTTGGCGGGTACTCGAGACTGGCTATTCTCCGGAGTTGACGTTACATTTACCGAGAAATTGAAGTAAGCCTTTTTCATATCCTGGTGTTGACGTTACATTTACCGAGAAGTTGAAGTAAGCCTTTTTCATATCCTGGTGTTGTCGTTACACTTACCGGGAAATTCATATCCACAGGAACTCATAAATCATTAGTAAGCATTATAATGTATGTCATATTTCTAAAACTACGTCACTTTCAAAGCAGAGTGAGTGAGTGAGTTGGGTTTAACGCCGCTTTCAACAGTATTACAGTTTTAATGTGAGAGGAGAGCTCGATATAATGCAAGTCTCAGACCACTTTGGTGAAATCCACGAGCACGGGTATGGTGCTGACAAACCTAGAAACATAATCGTGGCGAACCGGGATCGGAACCCACAATCATAGGTGTCTGGCGTTTCCAAGGGACGCAACTCTGCACAGCGAATCGCGGCGCCTTAGACCATTGGGACACCCGTTCAAAGCAGAACAAATTCATGGGTAACAACTTCTTTAATATAATATTGACGTTTCATGATTAGTATAGAAACGTCGCTGTAATAATATATTACAGAAGTTGTTATCCATTAATTGGTTCTACTTTGCTATCAGTAAACTTTTAAGAAATGCATATCAAACAAAATGTCACTTTCAATGTGTTTATGAGAAACATATGGCATGACTAGTGATGTTTTAAAGTTCATCAACATGTGCATGGTTATAAGTTGCTTTATCATCACTGAACAAGTGTCTCTGTGCATTGCGAACCAGCATTTCGTTCTCATTGAAGTAAGCGTCTTGGTCAAAAAGTCATTTATAATTTGGTCAAAATGACCGTTGATTATATTACATACATCATACCACACACACACACACACACACACACACACACACACACACACACACACACACACACACACACACACACACACACACACACACACACACACACATGGGTGCAATGTGTGAAGCCCATTCCTGGTGTCCCCCGCCGTGATATTGCTGGAACATTGCTAAAAGCGGCTTAAGACCATACTCACTCACTCGCTCGCTCACTGTGATTGAATATAGTTGTAGTGGTCGTTGTTAATAATCTAAAATGTGCAAATGCCATGTAGTGTGAAAAACTGTTATTTTCATCAAAGTAAAAGGACATTTTGCATGATCATAACCCCTTGTATATACATACATATACAATGTATTCTCAATTCTCATTACATGTATACTGACTACTTGTGTTTCATTTTCTGATCATAAAATAGTGTCATATTTTCAAATGTCGACCTGACTTTGTTTAATCAAATTGAAAAGTGACCTACTTATTTCCACTTCCCACACAAGTCGATTTACGCTTTTATATTTCATATGTCATTGGCGGAGGTAAACTTAAAAACTAAAATGGCAGATCCACGAAGGTAGACATGATGAAAGAAACATGGCGTGAGGTTGACTGCTACAACATAACTCGATGCATCAAGAACAAAGGCATAAATACTGCAATATGTACCCATATGTCATTACAAATATACCACATGAACTGAGACTTCAAACTTCCTACGTATGTGTACATAAGAACACGAAGAGAGAATGGAATGTTATCTACGGCAATGGGTGTAAACGCTCCCATGAAGCTCCACGATAACACTTAAGTGTTTCTTTAGCAATTGATATTACAATCTTTGAAAATAAATCTTACAATTAGTGTGGGACCGCCCCCGTGGTTTAGTGGTAGAGCGCCCACCCGGAATCATACCAAAAGACGTTAAAAGATGGTACTTGTTGTTACCCTGTCTGGGGCTCGGCATTAAGGGGCTAAAACAAGGACTGCTCGGCCCGGAGTCAGTATACTGTGTCTGAGTGGGGTATTCATGTTAAAATGTGGCATGGTATCTCTGAGGGCATGCACGTCGCTATATAAGTGCAATAATCTGGAACCCCATTTCACCTCACCTACAATTAGTTAACAAAAACATACAACAGGTTGTTCTCGTTTATCGTAATCCGTTGTCTAATCATATTTCTAATGTTATTATATTTTAAGAGGTAAATGCGTATATAAATCAGGAATACACCACCGCCCTACATTGTTTACAGATACACAGCTTGGATTATTGTAATTGTAATAATGTTAATATGAAATGTATCAACGAATATCATGTACCTTCGTGTAAAACCAAACAAAACGTATATCATATACTGTACATGTATTTTGAAACATAAAATCATTTTAACATGTAAGTATAGATCAATAATTGCATCAGCTTGTCCAAACTCTCGTGAAACCCTCGCAAAGATTTGTTAGGTATCAAATTTCTTAAACTATATAGTTCATACCATATCCGGTAGTCTGCCATACAGACCCTGAATCAAATATAGCCAATAACACCCATGCAGGTCTATAATATTTGGCAAGTCTAGATCACTGCAATATCTGAAAATGAAGTCTCCTGGCTCCTTTTGATTAAATTTTAATACTATTATTTTAACTACTATCTTTTATCCGTAAAATATGTTTCAGAGACTAGATGTTAGTCTTCATATCCGGTTATGTAATTCAAAATCAAAACTACAGTCATGTATAATCTTGTTCTACACATGACATACATAAAACCATTAATCACTGCCTCACAATGCAAAGGGAATGTGTTGTTTAGTTAGAAAGAATTACTTCCCTGTACTGGGACTCCCTCATTCGTTTCGCATCAACGATTTCTGTTCCATCACCGAGCATCAGGTGATTATCTTAACCTACAGCGTTGTGCAAAGGGAACTACTGATAACCCTACTTCCACCCACCGCTCTTCCATGCTCAAAACCGTGTCAAAAAATTAAAGCAACTTACTTCAATGCTCACCTGAAATAGTTACAGAAACGACATCACGACACGAAGCGCTTACCGTCGAATCACATGTCACTGAATCAAGGACACCGAATCCAGCTGTGTTTAAAACACAGCTCCCTCTACTGCTTCTGTATGAAGATCCTGGTCATTGTGATTACCTGTAACGTATTCCTTTCATGGACGGGAGCATTTGTTGATGATCACGGCGGCGCGGAAATCGATTAGAGCCTGATAATACTGCTCCGGTTCTGAATAGAGGGTTTTCCCATAGGAGCAGTTTTAAGTGCTCCCTTACAGTAACTCTGAACCCTATCCATGACCTTCAGTATTTGCACAGCAAGGTCACGTGAGCTCTAGGTCGTGTCAGCATGTAACGGTGTTGGAATGACGGTCTTAATTGTTTGGCTATGGTCGTCTCGGCATTTTTCGTCTGTTCACTATGCTAACCGCCATAGGTATGCACACGGGGGTAAAAACTACAGTCACATACACAACCTACGGATCTGAATAGTAACTGTATGTTAATCAGAAGAAAGTTCTGTTTACAACACAACTCACTATGATTACAACACAAAACATCCAGATTACAACACAACACATCCAGATTACAACACAACCGTCCAGATTACAACACAACACATCCAGATTACAACACAACCATCCAGATTACAACACAACCATCCAGATTACAACACAACACATCCAGATTACAACACAACCATCCAGATTACAACACAACCATCCAGATTACAACACAACCATCCAGATTACAACACAACACATCCAGATAACTACACAACCATCCAGATTACAACACAACACATCCAGATTACAACACAAGCATCCAGATTACAACACAACCATCCAGATTACAACACAACCATCCAGATTACAACACAACACATCCAGATTACAACACAACCATCCAGATTACAACACAACACATCCAGATTACAACACAACATCCAGATTACAACACAACCATCCAGATTACAACACAACCATCCAGATTACAACACAACCATCCAGATTACAACACAACACATCCAGATTACAACACAACACATCCAGATTACAACACAACCGTCCAGATTACAACACAACCATCCAGATTACAACACAACCATCCAGATTACAACACAACCATCCAGATTACAACACAACACATCCAGATTACAACACAATACATCCAGATTACAACACAACCATCCAGATTACAACACAACACATCCAGATTACAACACAACCATCCAGATTACAACACAACCATCCAGATTACAACACAACCATCCAGATTACAACACAACACATCCAGATTACAACACAACCATCCAGATTACAACACAACACATCCAGATTACAACACAACCGTCCAGATTACAACACAACACATCCAGATTACAACACAACCATCCAGATTACAGCACAACATATCCAGATTACAACACAACACATCCAGATTATAACACAACCGTCCAGATTACAACATAGCCATCCAGATTACAACACAACACATCCAGATTACAACACGACACATACAGATTACAACACAACCGTCCAGATTACAACACAAGACATCTAGATAACAACACAACCATCCAGATTACAACACAACTCACTATCATTGCAACACAATCGTCCAGATTACAACACAGCTATCCAGATTACAACACAACACATCTAGATTGCAACACAACACATCCAGATTACAACACAACTCATGATTACAACACGTCACATTTAGAATACAACCCAACACATCCAGATTACAACACAGCCGTCTAGATTGCAACACAACCATCCAGATTACAACACAACTCATGATTACAACACGTCACATTTAGAATACAACCCAACACATCCAGATTACAACACAACACATCCAGATTACAACACAACCATCCAGATTGCAACACAACCATCCAGATTACAACACAACACATCCAGATTACAACACAACCATCCAGATTACAACACAACCATCCAGATTACAACACAACCATCCAGATTACAACACAACACATCCAGATTACAACACAACACATCCAGATTACAACACAACACATCCAGATTACAACACAACACATCCAGATTACAACACAACACATCCAGATTACAACACAACACATCCAGATTACAACACAACCGTCCAGATTACAACACAACACATCCAGATTACAACACAACACATCCAGATTACAACACAACACATCCAGATTACAACACAACACATCCAGATTACAACACAACACATCCAGATTACAACACAACACATCCAGATTACAACACAACCATCCAGATTACAACACAACCATCCAGATTACAACACAACACATCCAGATTACAACACAACACATCCAGATTACAACACAACACATCCAGATTACAACACAACACATCCAGATTACAACACAACCGTCTAGATTGCAACACAAATCATCGTGATTACAAACAACACATCCAGATTACAACACAACACATCCAGATTACAACACACATTACAATAACACAACACATCCAGATTACAACACAACCGTCCAGATTACAACACAACCATCCAGATTACAACACAACACATCCAGATTACAACACAACACATCCAGATTACAACACAACACATCCAGATTACAACACAACACATCCAGATTACAACACAACCGTCTAGATTGCAACACAAATCATCGTGATTACAAACAACACATCCAGATTACAACACAACACATCCAGATTACAACACACATTACAATAACACAACACATACATATAACAACACAACACATCAACATACAATAACACAACACATTCACGCACAATAACAACATTTCCACATCCACACAAAACAATGCAAGTACTATTCACATCAGTTATAAGTTCATCATTCACATACAGTTACACTTATCGAAGTTATCAGAATGACTGGTGATCAGATATCGCAATAAACAACACAACATCAGTTGCATTGTCTCTCTGCCCGTCGCTCTGCAAGCAAATCTATTGTATTAGACCATACATCTCAATCACTTCTCCAACATAGTTAAGTGCTGCCGGGGAGAGTCAAATTGGTAAATTATTAACTGCAGCATGAATTTGGAAATTACTCAATTTTGATTGGTCGGTCAGGGGTATGAAAGCACAATGACCATTTCTGATTGAAACTGCCGATTTGACGGCCGCATCACCGCGGAAGGTAATACTTATGGAAAAGTACTTCTTTTTCAGTCGTTGTGAGTGGGCATTCTAACTACAGTTACTATTCAGTTACTATTCAAAGTATGTGTGCAATTTACGAAGTCTTTGGTGGTCATGTAACCAGTGAAGATCCGGGATAGAATAGGTCTTCAGCAACCCATGCTTGCCGTTAAAGGCGACTATGCCTGTCGTAAGAGGCGACTAAAAGAATCGGGTGGTCAGGCTCGCTGACTTGGTTGATGCATGTCGTCGTGTCCTAATTGCGTGGATCGATGCTCATGATGTCAATAACTGTATTGTCTGATCCAGTCTCGATTGTTTACAGACCGCCGTCATATAGCTGGGATATTGCGTGTGGCGTTAAACAACAAACAAACAAACAGAACAAATCTTAGTCAATTATCTACATTTTGTGAAAAAAACAGGGTAGAGAATGTTTTTCAAGTTTGTTTGTTTTGTTTGTTTGTTTGTTTGTTTGTTTGTTTGTTTGTTGTTTTGGGGGGCGTATATACGATAAAGACGTCATACCATTTGAGTTCTACTAATGACGTGCTGTGCAGAACGAAACCTTAGAATTCTTTAGGGGTGTACCCTTCATATTATCATTCGAGGTTGCTGTGCTACATGCTTTTAATGTCTGTCATTAGTTCGAGTAATGTATAACGGTGTTAAAACAAGTGCTTGATCATGTGCAGTGATTCCGTCATTCAGATTGACAACCCACCCAAAGCGCTAGACTGAACCCATGCCGCTTCACTGTGTTTTAATGTAGAGCTGGATTACCTGTAGCCTGAACAGGACTAAATTTAACATTTGAAACTTCACGCTGTACGTTCAGTTTCAAATTCATTTTAGCACGGTTAAATCTACAGGTAACCTATATCTAGATCTACATTGAAAACACAGTGTGTTTATCTCCCTGTATTCTGTAACATCTTATATACTATCAAACGACACGGGAAAATAAGTAAATGGCTATTGTTATTGTTATATAACTAAAGTAACCTCTATCTGAAGTAGTGAGTAAGTAAGTTTAATCCGGCTTTTAACAGTATTCCAGTTATATCACGTCGTGTCAGCTTACTGTGGGAGGAAAGTCCGAACTGATGCAGGTCTTAGGCGTTAACCACTTCGGTGAAACCCCGGAGCACGGGTTGGGTGCTGACAAACCTAGAAATATAATCGAATCCGGATTCAAAACCACAATCACAGGTTTCTGGCCTGCCCAAGGGACGCAACTCTGCACAGCAAATTGCGGCACCTTACATAACTGGGCCAACCCTGCCCCACTCCATCTGAAGTATGTTGGCTAACCGTGTGTGTTGTCCATACCAGTGAACGTAGTCAATAATGCAGTACTCGGTGTACACCTCAACGAACCAACACAAACTGAACTACAGATTCGATACGCAAAAGAAGCAAAATAATACAAAGATATTATTAATCAATATCCCACGGCTGTAAGCCGTAAACAGCTTATCAATAATCTTGAGTATACTAATTTTTAAGAAATTGTACAGTTTGTGAAATGAGTATGAGAGAATGGTTTTACACCACTATTAGAAATATTCCAGCAATATCACGGCGGGGGACACCAGAAATGGGCTTCACACATTGTACCCATGTCGGGAATCGAACCCGGTTCTTCGGCTTGAGGGAGCGAACGCTTTAACCACTAGGCTACCCGATCGCCCCGAAATACGAAGATCTATATAATTACATAAACGAGTCTTTCTTAAATATACAGTACATAAAAGGTCTACGCCAGAAGATATTCAGTCTCGATTATCTGCCGAAACAGATACCACTGGACGTAAAAAGCAAAATAGTCATAAATATATAATTTATCGAAATCAATGACACAAGGTGTTCGCGAAAAGGGTAGGCATGTTTTATATTACCGGTAGCACCTGCCACTCAAACATAATCTACATTAAAAAGGAAGTGTTTGTTGTAAAACGCCGCATCCAGAAATACCCCTTGTGACGGCGCCCAGTAAACAATCGTCTGCGTCCAAAAACGTCAACTACTGTAACAACATTCCCCATGTATATCTCAGTGGCCGACTAAGTAATGAGGATAGGACAGTGTTAAGCCCGACAGGCTATGGGCCATCGTACCCCGAAGACGTGTATCGTTATTCACGTAAACAGCTGTCCTTCCACGTCCAAACTCGATTATGTAGAGGAATATGTTAAGATGGAACGTAAAACAACATTCATGCCTCGAGGTTTTCTT